AATTTCTATAATATATTCTGGATCGACCGATATTTACGATAAAATGTTCTCTGTGGAACGAGTGAAACATATCTGGGGCTTGAATAGCTTTAGTTCGATTTGGACAATTTCTGATAATCGGTGGCGCCCATAAATGCCTATTCGTGCGTTTATATACTGAAAGTGAAACCATCAGATGAAATGTAAAATTTGTTACATGGTAAATGAGCTGGTTTTAATCCTTTCCCCATTTAACAATGTTAAAAGGAATGTAAAAATAGTAAGTACACACACAAATTTGGTGCATATCGTCAGTAAGTCCTGAGATATAGGGTTTTCACAAAATATAGGCGGTGCCACGCCCTCCTTCCAATTTTAACCCTGGATCCAATGGATTTTCATATCATCTCGAACGTAAATTTAATGTCTGGCTTTTATTTTCTAATATACATCGCGTTTTAGTAGTTTTAACAGTGTGGATGGGGTGATCACCTGATTTCATTCATTTTTACAGTGTCCGTGGGATGTAGAATTCGTCTTAAACCTGGAATTTGGTTGTTGTACCTTAAATGGTTTAGTAGATATGTCCATTAAACTTGTTAGAGGGCTGGGCCACGCCCATACTTTCAAAGGTTTTAGCCAACAGGTGCCCTCTGCTACTGTGAATCCCTGTACCAAATTACAGTTTTTTATTTTAATTTAGTGCTTAGATATGGCACTTTATAGATTTTCGTTTAATTGGGTTTTGTGGGCGTTGCAGTGGTCCGATTGCGCCCATCTGCGACCTGAGCCTCACTTTTTGCAGGTGAATAATATCGTACCAACCATGTAAATTTAATTCTGTTATAATAAGAACAAACGTGGACTTGTAGTTTAAACTTTAATTTAAAAGGTTAAATTCGTCTTTCACAACAAATTATTTTAGAAATATATTGTATATGTGTTCAACGCCGAGCGGACGAGTTCTTCTCCAAATGAAGCGAGGTGACGTGAGGATCGTAAAATTTGCTTTTGCGAAACAACCGTGGCGCGCTGCTGAACCGAATAAAGTTGACGTGGTGCTTGGGATAGTGGACGAATCGAATTGTAAAAATGAATGTTGATGTGGCGCTCAGGTCCGTAGAGGATAAGCGATTGATGTGTGGGCGATGATCCCGTCCTTTTTGTTAGGTGTACAGGTGCCGTGTTATGGTATTTTGTGTTGTCCTGAATGGTGTGATTTCATCGGGTGGTGAGAACCTGTTAATGTTCTCAAGTGTGGTGTGTAGCATTAGGGTGCGCCAGTTGTTACCGGAGGGAGTGGTGGTACTGAGGTTTAGCTCATTTAAATGGCAGGGAACACGTGTAGCAAGTTTCATTAGGATATCTCATTGGACAAGTTTTCCTAAAAATTATGTTGTTTATTTGTTGCCTTAAATAATAATCCCATGCCTCATTTCGAGAAGATATTACGTCAAATAAAAAAGTTTCTATACAAGCACTTGATTCCGATTGTTCAGTTTGTATGGTAAGTTAAGGAATGCAACTTCTTTGCATCAAATTCTGATACCACCAAAATAGCTGACACATTAAAGGAACACCTGCATTTTGTTTACATTAAAGTCACGTAATCATCTGCAGCAGCATCTTTGGCGACAGCACCAATCAACAGCGTAGGTTAAACGCTGGAGTTCAACCGAAACCGTTAAGTGCATTATTAATTAATTGGCGCCCGAGCAGGACACAGTGAATTTAAAAGGGAATATTGCGCTAAAAAGTATTCTTTCAATAAATAAGGAGAAATAAGCAATAAGTGCAAATTTACATTATACCTGTGCCACAATCAACCAACTTGAATTGAGCAGAATATTCAGCAACTGTGCGATATGCATCAATCAAGTTCTCAAGGTATTTGGACATCAAGGACCTCCAAGGACAAAGGAGCTCCGCCGGAAATCAAGTATCCTATCACAATCAAGTATCCTACCTACTGGAGAAAAAAGTAAACTTTTAATTTTAGTGACACATTTTAATAAAGTAGTAGTGACAAAATGGCAGAAAATAGTGAAATGGTAGCGCAACTCATTGCAGCGCAAACAAAAGATTTAAAAGTGGAATTAGAGTAATTGAGGCTGCAATTAAGAAATTTAATAAGTGTACATAATGTTACGGAATTTGAAAAGCAAACCAAATAATGAAACAATTCAATGTAGTGAGAGTTTAGATATTATAAAATCCTTACCGGAATTTAGTGGAAAAAGTTATGTTAGCTGCAGGGAAGCAGAACATAATACTATTTCATTATACATTAAAGGAAGTAGGAAATATTTCAGTGCACTAACTATTCTTAGGAATAAAATTACACAAGAAGCCAATGATATCCTAACCAGTCATGGCACGATTTTAAATTTTGACGCAATTATTGGTCGCCTGGACTTTGCTTACACAAGCGTCCTCTGCTTATATTGGACCAGGAATTAAATCTAATTAAACAAAATAATCTCAACTTAGTAGAATACTATAATACATCAAACTCACAGTTAACTCTTATGAATAATAAAACCACAATGACCTATGGAAATAGTTCAGAAATGACTAAGGAATATAACAAAAGTCATCGGGAAGATGTGATTAGGATTTTTGTAACAGGATTGAATTATCCTTTATATGATATTTTAATGGCTATGGGACCAAAAGATTTACCCAACGCCTTGGCTAAAGCCCAAGAAATAGAATCTAATCGAATCATACTCCAATTCTCTAGTGAAATCAGTCAAACAAGAAATCAAGTGAATAGGTATAGAAATGTTTACAACGATATTAGGAATACTCCTAAACAAAATAATTATAATCAACACTCGAATAGGTAAAGCTTTGACCAACGTCCCGTCAGAGCAGTTGTCGAAATTTGGGATGGCAAACCCAACCTATACCAGAACCATTACAGGTAGATATTTCAGGCCAATTTAGGCCACCCAGAGAACTTAAATGAACGAGAAGGTGCAGGTTCGACAGCGAACAATTTGTAGGAATTTTACTTCATTCATTTACTTGACACCATTATGGAGTCACAAAAGTACAGAATTGTGTTTTGCCGTCGGCATTTCACATTCATGCTTCAATTTTTCTTTTCAAATGCATGTTTTTTTTTTTTTTTTTTTTTTGTTTTTTTGTAAGTTGGGGGAAGCATCGAAAGCCGAAGTGCGGGAATTTAATCCGCTAAACCTAACTAAATCCCACCGCATATCCCTCCCACGGAACCACCTGATTAAGTATTACTTCGTGGGGGTGATAAGACATTTAAGTCTCCTCTATTGTACGGACTGACGGACGCCTAATCTGTTCTATATGTCTCAGTTTTGTCATGATTGAGGCTGCCGCTGACAGCGTTCCAGTTCTCAGTGGACTGACACATGAGTGTCGTCAAATTTTCCACCGTAAAACTACCACCAAGTATAGTTTTTAGTTTTTCTCTTATGCTTACAAAGCGAGGGCAGTGAAATAATACATGTTCAGAGTCTTCTAAGCACTCTGTACACGCCGGACAGTTCAGACTAGTGTCCCGATGGAATCTGTGCAGGTAGCTTCTAAAGCACCCATGTCCACTTAGTATTTGGGTAAGATGGAAATATAGGTCCCCATGTCGTCTGTCTATCCACGAGCGGATGTCCGGTATGAGTCTGTGTGTCCACCGTCCTTTGGGTGAGGTTTCCCACCGTTGCTGCCACATTGTCATGCTTTTGTTCCTCTCTTCTTTTTTGGATTCTTTAGTTGTCTCTGCTGACAACTTGTATAGTCGCGCGAATTCTTCATCCTGGATGTCAATGGGCATCATACTGGCTATTACTTCAGCAGCCTCGCTGGATATTGTTCGGAAAGCACTGATTATTCTTAGCGCCGACAGACGGTGCACTGTGTTTAATTGTTTGTTATACGCTTTAATGTTAAACGCCTGATCCATATTGGGACCGCATATAATATAACCGATCTTATTACCTTTGCGAGTAAAACTCGCCGGCTGGAACGCACGCAGCCCTTATTTGCCATCATTCTTGATAGGGCGTTGAGGATTTTATATGCTTTACTCGAGGTGTATTCTAGGTGCTCCTTAAATTTAAGCTTTGAGTCTATTATTACTCCCAGGTACTTTAGGTGTGGCTGTGATTGTATCTCACACTCCCCTATGGTGAGAGATATCCTTTCCTCCACTTTCCTCGTACTTAAACTTCTGTTTAGTTGCTTCAGCAATACTAAGCTTTGAGGAGGAACCTTTCCCAGACTGTATTACACCATTCATTGCATTTGATCTACGGAGGTCATCAAGATGGTTTAGAACTGCTAACCACTAGTAGATTCATAGGTATGCGACTAATTTATACACTGGTTTGAGATTTGGAATATTTTCTTCCGCACCCTATACAATCACGATTCCATGAATGGGGATACGGAGCTTGCAGGTACCACTCGAA